TACTCTATAGAGAGTATTAAACTAGTTTGCCCAGGAACTATAGTTCTTTAGGATAATGCTCTTTACCGTGGCTTCTAATATAATCGCGATTAAGGTTTGGAAACTATAGGAATTATGGGAATAATTTCTATTAATTAGTTAATAACGGAAATGCGAACTAAAGTATGATTTTCGAAGAAATAAATTAAATAAGCTCTTGAATACTCTCTGCGGCGTGTTAATTAGGAAGCTTATTAGTGCAAGACCGGGCTTATAACTAATATATATAAAGATTATAGAGTAGGGAGTTATATTAAATAGTAAAAGAATTAATTAAACTAGCTAAAAAAGAGCTTGAGTAAAGTATAAAGCTTCAGGAAATAAGTATATAGATCCTAACTAAGCGGAGTAATTATACTAGCCCTAATTTAGTAATTCTTACTATAATAATAATTAATATAAAATTATAGGCTACTGTTTTTCTTTTTAATAAATAAGACTAGTAATAAGAAAAAAAATTCGGACGGCTTAATAAAACCCTTTTTTAAGTTCTTAATAAGATACTTTTTTATTTTTTCGAGTTTATTAGAGCTTATCTTATAAAGATAGGCTATTTTTATTAAGGAATCTAGTTTATTAAAATAGAGCTTATAATTAAAGAATTAAGACTAAGGAAGCTTATTTACTACTTTTTTAGAAAATGCCCTAGCTATATTATATAGCTATATAAGGAGAAATACCCGGAGCTTTTAAAGTTCTTTAGGGTTAAAAGATAATATATTACCGAGGATATTAGGTTTATTTATATTCAGGAAATATATTAGGTTACTAGTTTAAATATAATATCTAGTAGGCTATAATATTAGTTATCTAATTACTATAAGTAGTAGTAAATATCTCTTTGATTTATAACCCTACTTCTTAAGTATATAGTTAATCTTATTAATAGTAACTAATCTAACTAAGTTACTAAGGTTTTTAGTACTTAATTAGAAAGTAGCTATTCTAATAAAATAGCAGGAATAGTCTAGTAGCTTAACTATTTCAAGAGTATTAAGATCTAACTCTTTCTTTCTTGCCTAGTATTCGGCTTTCTTTATAAGAAAGTCTTATAAAAAAATAAGAAGTATATTCTTTTACTTCTCAAGTCTAGTTTTACTAGTTCTTTTTAGAATTCTAGTTAAAGTGCCTTTAGAGTAATTATCTTTTTAATATTTCTTATTAAAATATTAGATTTTCTAAATAAGGTTTAGCTAATTTATCTCGTAATTCTCTAGCTAATAAAGTTAATTCCATTAATAATCTAGTAGGATATTATACTTTACTAGCTATTTCCTTTCCAGGATTATATTATAAGAGCTAAGGTTAGTAGTAAGTAAATATTATTAAGTTTAGAAGTACTAATTAATAGCTAGATCTATAGTAGCTAGATATTAAATAGCTTTACTAAGTTATTTATTAAAATCTTATAAGAAAATAGGGGTTTTGAGTTTATATAAGAATATTTATAATACTTTTATTAAGGAACAAATATGTTTTTAATTAATTAGAGTATATATATTTACTCTAGTATTTACTAAGTACTAGAAAGTTATAGTTTTATCTTTCTAGTATACTTAATAATTAATAAGGAACTAGTTCCTACTAATTAGCTAAGTGAGATCTATAGGTTCTTAATAAAGTTCTTATTTTAGGAAAGCTATTTCTATATCTAGAGCTAGACTTTTCCCGACTTATTAATATTATATTTCTTATTATTTATTCCTAAATTATTAGCTCTCTTTAAATAATTCTCTTTAATAAATATAACCTTATTAAAATTAAGACAAGTACTTTTTATATATCTAGGCTTTCTATAGCTATAATAATAAAGACTCTCTAGCTAGTCTAATTTCTTTTTAAATTCTCAGTAAATTACTTCCTTTAGCTATAAGAATACTAGCTACTAAGGTTAATTTATTAGATATAGGATTACTATAACTTCTTAGATCCCGGTAGACTTTCTAGCCTAAGGTAGTATTTAATAGCAAGTAATTTCTACTAGTTATTTCTTCTGGAATTACTAATTTTTAATTAAGAGAAGCCTATTCTCTTATTTCATATACTACTTAGTAAGATTCCTGGAAATATTAAACTTCTTATTACCTAAGCTCTTAAGTAGCTCGAGATTCATTTTATTTATTAAATTATTATATTAGTTATCTGGCAACTTCTCTAGTTTTATTATTAAGTAAGTAAACTTTACCTAGAATACCAGAAATAGCTTATTTCTTTATCTCAAATACTAGTATATCTCTTTTACTTCCTAGTACTCTATTTCTTTACTTTTATTATAAGCTTTCTAGAGAATCTTAAAGATCTATTTAGTAATTAAGATCTATCTAACTAATTCAGGTTTTAATTAATTATAAATAAAGTTACGGGCATTTCTAGTAACTAGTTATACTATATAAGTAATTTTTAGTAATTTACTATTAAATTTAGAGAAGTTCTATATTAGTTTATTTCTTATATTAAATATCTAATTATTAATCTAGTAATTATTCTTACTTATAAATAGGGCAGAATTCTTAATTCTAATAAGTTATAGTTAATTACTATAGACTAAAAGCAGGAGAGAGCCTTAGTATTAGTTCCCAAATAGTTCTTCTAACGAGAATCTATAATATTCCTAAATATTTACTTACTTAAATCTCTATTTTATTATTTCTTTTTATACTAGTCTTTTTCTTATATAAAGTCGACTAGTAATTACCTTTAGCTTATTAACTTTCTTAGTAAATTAATTAATATATAAATAGAATTTCTAGTAATATTTTACTTATTTATTAGCTATAAGGTAGTATTTATTAATAAGGTTATCTCGTATAAATAATCTTTACTAGGCCTTATCTGTTTTCGGAGTATTTATATTAATTTTGAGTTCTAAGTTAGCTAGCTATTTCTTAATTTTTTTTTCCGGAATAATATTATAATAGCATTTCCGGTAATATAAGTTTATAATATTAAAGTCTGGCTTTTCCGTTTTATTATACTAGGGCCTCTTATCTAATATACTTATAGTAGTAGTATTTGGCCCCGGGCTATCTATAATAGTTTTAGAAAGGGTATTAGTTATAGAAATAAGTATTAAGTAAGTTCTTTTTATTTAATATTAGTAAACTATAACTAATTATTATCTTATCTAGTTTTAAATTAGTAGACTAAAACTAACTATTATCTTTTCTTATTTTAAATTAGTAAACTACTACTAATTCTTCTTATACTAGAAGAGGGAGCTAGTTCTTTTACTCTTATTAGTATTAAGGGAATATTATCTGCTCTAGTTAAGGGTCAGGCTCCGAGATTAACCGGGTTATAGAGAATAATATCTTTCTTCTTTTATATTAGTAGAGGACTGATTACTAGAAAAGAAATATTATCTGCTCTAGTTAAGGATCAGGCTCCAAGATTAACTAGGTTATAGAGAATATTATACTTCTAGTTAAGCTCTCTAGTTCTTTATAGTTCGAGGAGGTTATTAAATATTAAAAGTAATATTCTGTTTTTACTTTCTAAGGATAAATACGGGTTCTTTACCGGTAGTATTATATTGCCTCTATAGGCCGAGTCGAGTAAGCTTAGTATTATATAATAGCGGGATTAATATAATAGTTAAAGGCTCAAAGTTCAAAGAATCTCATATATTAGAAAATACTAAGCTATAAAATAAAGTAAGGAGGATGCCTTGACCTTTAGTATTATTCCGTCTAAGTAATTCCGGCTTAGCTTCGTTTTGTGCCTGTTTCCGATATCCTGTTCTTGGCAGATTATGCCCTTATGCCAGCTGTTACAAGTACTATAGTAGGGGGTTTGGCTTCTCTAGTCACGTGGATGCGGTCATGTGATATATAGAGTAAATAATTCACATATATATTACCTTGCTCTCCTTCTCTCTTCTTTGGAAATCGATTAACCTTTACTCTCTTTATGCTTTAGTCATATATTATTTAAAGAAAAAGAAGAGAAATTATTATTTATATAACTTTTATCTGGGTTTCACTTAATAATTAGAAATAATTAATTATATTTAGTTATAATTCTTCTAATAAATTTTTTTTTTTCAAAAAGTCGATAATCAAATCATAATTAATTATTTACTTGATTTAATTAAATATAATTAATTACCTTAATTATTTTTTTGACACACTGCAGAAGCTTCGGATGAGAGGTTGCAGATTCGGCGAAGACGCATTCTTGTAGCTCCCGCAACTAATTTGGCCATCGATTTGGGATTCATAGTCGCCGGTGCAGTGGCATTGTTCGTCTTGGCATGCTACCAGAACGCGTCATCTGAGGGTGTGGAGAATATGTTTCGGGCTGGGCATTGTGGTAAGTTTTCCGTCAACGATTTGAGGTTCTTAAGTAACAATTACCATAGCTACCTCTTTCCGTGTCCTCCTTCCGTATTCGAATTGTTGATTCTACCCAATACCGTAAACATGCCATCAAGTCAAAGGTCCCATATATTCACGCGTCGAAGCTTTACTGGAAGCCAATGCTCAGCACTTGGAAGTATCTGACCATACCTTTTCAGTACGACCCTAACTAACACGGAGGGCAGCTCTTGCATAGTTCTGCTGCGACTTCGTCACATAGTAAACCTTATTCTCATAATGATTTCCCGGTTTCTTCTGTGGGAGCCCAGAGTCCGGGAGCTTCACGGGAGCCGGAATGCGCAGATGTCTTAGGAGCTTGGCTCCTTGGCTCATTAGCTCCCTCTTAAAATCCAGCATGGCTCCGTACTAATTCTATGGCAGTCATTTCTGTACCTCCTATTCATCATAACTTCACAACTGAACCGCAACAATACATTTACTCAAAAGTTCAAAACATTGGTTACGGCACAGTAGTGGATTGCTTCTACGGCCCGGTTGCATCGCTGGCGACCTCCTGATGGACAAAAATGGCCGAAACAAACCATAACCCTCAGTTTCTTCTTACGGGGCATCTTAGACTTTAGTTTTAGAGACACTTTAGGCCCTATCCAGACCAAGTTCTCGCTTTTCGTCGATTTGTACGGAATCTTCAATTCGTTGGGAGAGGTGGGGCCTGGCGTTGCGACTTTCCTCTGTGCAGCAGAGTCTTTTCCAACCCCCCTTCGTGGCTATATGGGTTTCGCTGCTGCGATTGGCAAAGCGGGTGCGGCTGTCAGAACCCAGGTATTCACTCCGATCCAGGAATCATTCTCTAGTGATCAGAATTTCAGGAAAGCCAGCAGGGCGTCTTCTTGACTGGTTCCGCATCACAATAGTTGGAGTTTTAATATCTTGGTTCTTCATTCCAGAAAGGAGAGAGATTTGGACGGAGAGGATGCAAGGTTCAGGTTTAACTGGAAGAAAAGGGACTTCTGACAATTGCATGAACAAGGCAGTATTTGGCATGTAATTGGGCTTCAAAATATGAGGGTAAAGTTGATGTAGATTGAGATGTCTAAAGTACAAGAAGTACGGTTCAGCGGGTGGTTTATATGCCTCTGTCGCTGAGCTAATTCAAAAAGGGGAGAATCACGTATATGGCAACTGACAATTTCATACCAATTTTTATGGCGAGAGCCTGGTGGAGCCGACGAAGAGCACTGATTTCAATTTTTGATATTTATTGGAACAGAAAGAGAGACTAAGGATATAAGTGAGCCCAATGACGAGAAATGTCTTGCTAGGGTCCAGATTCAGTTGCTCTAGTTGAGCACATCCGCGATCATAAGCATGGCTGGGAGCGCCACTAATAATCTCATTATTTGATGAAGAAACAAGCGAAATCACAACGGAATGAACGATCGGCAGTAGAGAACCTCAATTATTCCGTTGCTGCTTGGCACTCATATTTGTGTCTCTTGGTTGTCAGGTTTCCTCTACCCCTAAGGTAGGTAGTCGTTGTTATTCTCGTGTATTGTGTACCCTCACATGGGAACACTTCACAATGTCGCCTTTAATTGTATTTGCTTAGATAATTTTTGTTATGATAGTGATTGCTATTTAGGTGATTTGGTGTGGCTTCAGCGAGGTTGGGAAGCAAGCGAAGTGTTCCGAGGGGGAAATTTTTGCAAGCCCGGGGAGATCTACATTCCTGAGGACGTGACGGTATTCAGCACGCGACGCGTAACAGATGGTTAAAGGTGACTTCGTTTCTCTTGTTTTCGAGTCATCTTGTAGAATTGTAGACTCAATCTTACACCATGGCAATTATGAATCTTGTGTTTCTGGGACTTCCTTCCCTCGTATGGGGCATGAACTCACTGCTTGGCTCCATGCCGCTGCCAATGGAAAGCCTCTGCGTGGTTTGGACGGTGGTTGAACGGCCGATATATATCAACACCTGCTTCGCCTCCAGCACTGTTGTGATCATCGAAGGTTATACGACTACTATTCCTAATCCAACGTGTATCCATACTACTATCACCGCTTCGCAAACGATGAACCCTCCACCTTCGACCCCGGCTATGGAGGCCGTTGAGTATACAACCTTCACAACAGATATCTACACTACAGTGTGCCCATCGCCGACAATTTTCACTTATGGTACTCGCACATATACAGTCACCGAAGCTACGACAATTACGATTACAGGGAAGTGACATTGGTCAACCTGACCTCTCGCCCCCAAGCTAATATTACACAGACTGTCCATGCACATATTCTCGAGTAAAGTCCAGCTCGGAGCTCACAGGGTTTTCATACGGTAAGGTTACTAAATTTCATTCTCTCGCAGACCCTCTTCCAGCACCCGCGCTTCGATTTCAACTTCCAGTCCCTGCATAATACCCCAAGTGCTTCATTTTCTTCCCTGGTGTCGACATCTCCAACTCAATTCACATCAGTCGTCAATATTGCCTTATCCATGATGTCTACACCAAGCTCTGTCACACCTTTCGTTTCTACTCTTCCATCTGCCACCGTAACAACAATCTTAGTCGCCCCTTCAATTGGCTCCAAGAATACTGTCTCGCATACTAAATCAGCTCTGAGCTCTGTGCTTTCAATATCCAGTCCAGTACCTCGATCTAGTTCGCCACGAGGAAGCTCCGCCGCTTTCACTTCGACCCAGACAACCACACGCTCTTCCGGGAAATCTAACTCTATTTTGATGTTTACATCTGTATCTGCTCATATTCTGACTTCAAACACAGGGACATCAAGCATCCGTTCAACCTCACCTACGGCACCATCAGCCGCAGTGTCTTCTATTTCGAAGTCAACAGCTGCATCCATTTCGAGCTCCTCTTTATCAATTCCCACTTCAACTTCATCTACGATGCTCTTCACCCCGTCCTCTGGAACAGTATCATTGTCTATTTCGTCTACTTCCAGTCAAGGATCTTCGTCAATCTCGACTTCGTCAGTCACAACCACAATGCCGCCAACACCGAGCTCAACGGGAGCAATGTGTGGTGCAGGCGTGGATCTCTCTTGCCAAGACAGTGGCTTCGGCAACTGCTGCGGATCTGATAATACATGTGGCCACGATGCGAATCATTGTGGTACTGGTTGTCAAATTGGCTTCGGATTCTGCACAAACATATCAAATGATGGTAGTTGTGGTAACAATGTGACTTGCCTAGGCAGTGTGTTTGGAAACTGTAAGTCCTTCACTCGTGTAACCCTTTCCTTGCTCCCCGGGCATTGCCATCCAGCGCCTCTCGACTCAAAACTTTATTCTCTTAATCAGAGCTAATTTTGGAAATAGGCTGCTCCGAATTCTTTTTCTGTGGATCTGACTCAAGCTTCTGCGGAACGGGTTGTCAACCTGACTTAGGACTTTGTACTCAACCAAGCTCGACAGTCTCAATCCCTTCATCAAGTACATCTGTGTCTTCTACCGCTGTTCCCTCTGCATCGGGTGCTTGCACATTCACACCCGGCCTTGGCGACACAACACTAGCCAGCATCCCAGCCCCTGCGGTCTACAACTCCTCGGGCATAGTCTACTCATTTGGATTTATTAACAGCAACGTCGGCGCTCTGGCCTACGCGACTTACAACCCATCTGCGAGTGCTACAGACCAATTCGCCTTCTACCAAGTATCAACTAACATCGCCCCGCCCACCATCGGCTGCGCATCATTCGGCTACCTCTACCAGGTTGACTCCGGCCTGTGCGTTACGGCCAACAAAACTGGAAACGCATATCCAGATTTTCAGGGGGCGGACATGGCGCTAGAGCCCTGTTATTCCTGCAGTACCACCGGGGGCCCGCCACAAGAGCAACTGTTTTGTACAGATGCTTACACTGTCGGTGTCTTTGATCCGTATCAATGCGTGCTGTTCTTTGGAGATGCGACATTCCCGGATAGCTTTTATGGGCCGACGTATGGGCCTGGGCCCGCTCCTGCAGAGTCGACGGTTCTACTCGATGGCCAGGAATGCATTTTCCTTCTATTTCCTTCCCCCTAAAATGAGGGCGTTGTTGCTTATCTTTTGATGGTATAATTCATCAGCAGTTGTCTTTTGGGATGAATCTTGTATTGTTTGCGCTCAACGGGATCAGCAGGAAATTTAGGTCTTAGGTTCCAATTATCTTCTATATTTTTATATCCACAATCTTGACTTTGAGGTGGCTAGATTTCCAGTTGAGCGTCGCAAGGTGTGATAGTGTGACCCTGGATCTCGGAGAAGCGAGGTGCTGCAGCATTTTCACCCGTTGCTACAAATACCTTCCAGCGCACCTCCCAAATTTGCGATTTTCACTGGTTCCAATGCCCCCCTTCTTAGGTCTTCGTCTAATATTCGCATTTCATCGCGGCACATAGAAATTTGTATGCGTTACTGTACGATGACCGAAAGAATCCGGGGAGTTAGCGAAAATAAAAGCGCTACATCGCCCCAACATTGAGCTTATTCAAGTTTAAGAACTTAAGACAAGGTTTGATTTCACGGGATTTGGAGTTCATTTCGGTCTTAGTATCAGCTATTTGGTGCTGATGCTATTCCGTAACAGCTGCAATCTATTGTTTTTGCTCATAATTTCCGCTCTTCCCCATGCTCAGTGGCCATGTCGCCTTTGAAATGAGCTAGATATTTCTCGAGATTCGAGTTGCTGAACCACCTCAGGCTAAAGCATATATACTTCGGGACTCTTTTCTTGCATTGTCCAGCCCTCTGCAGTTCCACCAACCTAGCAAAGTCGTTCGTCTTGTCATGCAGGGCAGTGCCTCTCTTGTATACCACGGGGTCGAACGGAGATAAACTTCCATGCACAGCATAGTGGCTAAAGAGGTACTATTTGTCTGCAAGTTTTGCCATGCCTCAATGAAATAGAGCTACAAGAACCACTATTCTATCAGAAGTGACTGGATGGGTATCTCCATTGATTATTGGAACGCTCCATCCACTCTAATTTCAGGCCTACCATTTTCGATTGAGTCGGCTCTGGGGCCGGCAAAAGCACTTCAAAAGTTCAACGTTTTTTAAGCGATTTCGCTCCTTGCTACTTTTTGAGATGACGGATCCTCGTATTGAAATTTAATTTAATTGTGATACGAAAGATTTGAACCTCATTGTTTGCTACAGTCTTTGAAGTCTTGTAGCATAAATCAGAAGTAAGCGGGCCTTGCTCCAGCAGTGGAGCTCTACCATAAGTATATGAATCAGAGAATCTTGCCCATGGCATAGACATCCTCAAAGTAATCTGGCGCTAGCACGTGCTCTCCGGTCCGAGAACCTCCTCTGCTGAAATATATTCGCAGACGAGGGCTTTGGGAAGGGCCTTTCTACTCGTGTTTAGGGATTGTTCCTTGTAGATCCTCGCATATTCAGGGAACATCTCAGTCTCTTCCAATTGACCACGTCCTGCTCTTCTATCGTTAACTTTAACTTGTAGACCTCGATTACACTGTCACGACGCCACAACCTTTCCCGTTCTGGGGCCAGCCTTAGTAAAGCCACAGTTCGTTGTCTAAGTTAAAAGACTCAACATGTGAGTATAAAGAGGATTGATTAATTAATTGATTGACATTTATTTACGTCCGAGAGACCTCCAAAAGGGTATGAGGACGTGCTAAGCCAAGGAGCGTTCCTCAGAACTCAAAGTCCTATTTAGAATAAAGCCAAAAACTACAAGGGGTGAAAAGACTCCCTCCTAAATAGTCCCGGGTCTCTAATCCCACGGTATTATAGTACCCTTGCCTTAGAAAGCATTTCTTACTATAGCCAGATATAGACAGGGGCCTATAGCTACTCTCTATATATAACCAAATTGCCTTATAACTATATAAAACCTCTTATAGCCAGTTAGGGTAGCTACTAGAACTTTTGTTCTTTTATTCAAGTTCTCCCATAACCCAAATATCTAAGCCTGACCCCCCCCCTTATCCTCTTAATATCCTATATTTCTCTTTACATCCATGGAAATACCGAGTCCTCGGGCCTATATCTGTAAAAGAATTTCTCTACTATATAGCTAGTCCGAGTATAACGGCGCTGGCTGGGGCCAGAGGGGGGTGGCTGTCACATGACTAGTTTCCTCTAGCTAGCCGGCGTTTCAGTAGTTTTAACTACCGTATTATCTGGTGTATATGACCATGGTCTTATAGCCCGTTCCACATCTGAATAATTCGTCAGGGAATGGTCTTAAGCCTGAGAGGGTCTAGTAATACGTCGATCCCACTAAAAACCGCTTAGTGTATAGTGTTGTGCTTACCCCTCTAATTCCTCATCCCTTTATTCTTCTCTCATTCTCCCTCTTAAACTCCCACCTGCACCACCAATTGCTCTTGATATTACGTACTACAAATTATATATATTGAGAATTAGCTGAGAAATCTGCTAGGAGATTACTTGAATTACCTCAAACTAGCCAATTAAGCAATACTTTAGTAATATAAGACCATGGTCTTCTATTACTAAGCTATTGCTTGAGGAATTGCTCTGGAAATGGTCTTCTATTAGGGGTTGGTCCTGAACGAAGGGGGGGTCATATACGCCAGATAATACGGTAGTACTTCCCTCCTTTTATCCCCTCCTTCTTCTCTTTAGCTTAATATTTTCAATATATGAGATTCTTGGATCTTTGAGCCCTGGCCATTGCCTCGATCCCGCCGTTACACCGAGAGTGAGTTAAGAGAGTCGGAAAGGCTATAGTATCTATTTCGATTTCCCTTGCCGTTCCTCTAGATATATCTCCCCCAAGTATATAGCAGATCGAGCGAGAGAGAAAGAATTAGAGTTAATATCCTGATTATAAGTCTTGTTAAGTAGAAGTTTGAGCTCTTATAGAGGCGCTATACCGCTAGCTTATATAAAACTAGATCTGGCAATAAAGGAAAATCTTCCTGTATTTGCTTATAACTCAATCTTGGTCCTATATTCTAGAGAGTATAGATTAATAGCCTGTACTACAAGGAGATATTAAGTTATTACAAGCCGAGTATAAGAAGAAAAAGAAGCGGAATAATTATTAGTATATTAGAGTTATATATAAAATAAAGATATTATATAATTAAGTTAAGAATATAAATATAAGTATATTAAAAAATAATTATATATTTTTATTTTTATTCAAGATTCTTATAGTCTCATGTATTAAATATTAAATATTAAATTTATAAATATATAAAATAAATTATAAATAATTATAAAAATCGATTTTTTTTATAAATAAAATACACAAATTCTTTTTATTGTAAATTTCCATCCCTTCGTTGGCTGAGACATTTGCTAGCGCTAGCAGCCACATAAATGCGGATAGCCTAATTAGAGGGGACTATTATTCTAACCAAACAAGGGATATTCGCGTGCAGCCGCTAGCGTGGCTATGTTTCACCAGGCGAGGGGATAATTTTCGGGCAGTGTCTGGAGGCCGAGTCTGGCTGAAAGTGAGACACCCCTTCCCAAACATCTCAGCTCTGCACGCATGGCCCTGGAAAAACAAAAAAAGCCTTGCACAACAACACATTAACAACGCCAAGGCAAAAAATGATGAAAGTCAATCTCCAGGCTATGATCGCTAAACCCTAGGGTTCGGTCACCAAATTTCCAGCCACTTCAGTGATCCCCTGTTAACCATTCCACTTTTTGAGGTGGCCGAGGGGGGGGCGAGCTTCGTAGGGTGGTGCTCTCCCCCTAATTAAATGTAAAAAGTGGGCCTTTTCACCAGGGGGTTTTGTATGGTCGAACGTCTGTGCGAAGAGCCTCCTTTTTACTTTTATTTCCTAGGGGGGAGAGTAGCAGGATCCGTGTGGCTTGTCCAGCCCAAGTAAATTTATGCGAAGGCGCTCCCCCTGTGGGATGCTCGATCCAATCAAAATGATGCCCGTTACGCCGATCGATCAATGTTCGCAAAGGCTCTTCTTGATCCCGGAATAACGTGTTTTGATATTATTATGGTCGTTTTGATCCATCCAGCAACCGTTACAAGCTTTCTCAAGTGTGAGTTTTTAAGTCTGGGTGGAGCTGTCTCCAAATAGGCCCAAGATCGCTTGTAGGCCTGCGGCAACCTCGAGCTGAGCTTATGTGGCGTATGGAGCGGCTTTCCCCGTGCGGCCAGTTCCGCAGCGATGCCCACCACAAAAATCAACCTGCTGATCGCTGATTCAACAGCTTTTACGCCTCCAAAGTGCATATTAATTTGGACATCATGGGAACAAATTCCACACAAAGGATTGGTCTTTAGATTCCCCTTGAGAACTCCACTATGGTGGCCGAAAACCTAACGTAACTTCTGCGAAGGAATGAGATATCGATTGGTCATTGAAAGGGCATTTATTAGAGACACGTGATCTAGAGACAGAGGGCTAATATATACTATTGATCTCTTCCTTACTTCATAATAATATTGCTTTTTATATTCCTTATTATTAAAACAACTTAACTGCATTTTAATTCCGTCGCACGTGAGTGTGTCTATAGGCCTACGAAGTAAAGAAAAACAAATTAGGTGCCTATGCCCTAAAACAAGCTGTAAAAGGGGTGGTAAAAGGGCATTAGAATTTTTACCGCCCCTGACCGAACGCCAGATTGCAGGGCAGGTACAGGGGCATCGCGAGGGGCGGCATCTGGCCGCACAGCCTCTAAATAGCGATTCCCATGGGCCTTCCCCGCCCATGATAGTTCCTCGAGCTGCAGGCTCCGCCCATTTGCGGCTGAGACTTCTTGGCATGGGCAAGAAAGCATTGAGGTCTTTGAGGGCTTCAAATCCGTCTTAAAAACTTTAAATTCGTTTTTAAATGAACCTGGCGAGAGACGTCTAAACTTACCATCTATTCCTCATGATCTTCTGAGATATTCGAATTTGACCCTACTCGTTACAGCCTGTCAGGCCGAGAAAATGTAACAAGGCTCGCAAGGGCTGGGTGTGGAAGGGCGTTCGTATTTACTTTGTGGCCCATGCTCGCCTGGAATTCCTCTGTCCCCTACATTATTTTGGCTTTGTTGTTGAGCCCCGACTGCCTGCATCAGATGTGACATGGTAGAAACTGTGACAGCCAGTCTAGTGACCTGCAGAGGTGTGGTGACCACCAACGTTTCGCGAAGCTTCTGGCATATCATTGGTCCCCCTTGCGGCAAATCCCCTTTTGGCGTTTAATGGCGTTTTTTTGGCGTATTGGAATGTGTTGGCGTTTGGATATCGTGTCGCATTGTGGCCACTAAGAATAGATCTTCTTGACAAAGTCGTTTAGATTGACGGCACGAAGGATCGAGGTGCCTGGTACCGGAGATGAGCCCCAGGGACAGTTTGATAAGTTGCGCTCCTCCCACTTCTCTCCTTCACACGTCGTGTTTTTTTAAGATCCTCTAGGCGAGCTCCTCATCCGAACAATTCAGCCTTATATTGCTTAAGAATCTCCTTCACCACTGTCCTACGACTTTGATCTCCCTTATCAACAAGATCTACTCACATATCGCATCGCTACTACCGCCAAAATGGCATACCAAAATTCGAGTCCTCAGATCATTACCGGCACCCAACCAGCCACAGACAGATCACCGTTGTCCAAATGGTGGGTCGTCGGTGTCTTCTGTTCCTCCGTCTTCTTCTTCGTCCTCGGCGGCGGCCTCCTCGGCGCCTGGAGCGCCAGCCTCTCCTGTTCCTACTACGACTACATCTGCTACGGCGATCTTGGTGAATGGAATGGAGGCATCGCCTGCATTGCCATCGGCGCCATCTTAAAGTTCGTGTTCTGGGTTCTCTTGATCGTCTGGTGCGTTCAGCGCCGTCGTTCTCGCGCGCCATCAACGGTCGTGTACGTCAACGCCCAGGCGAATGCTGAAGCTGGCACTGTTCAAAAACCACAACCCGTAGCAAACGTGTATAGTGTGCCACAGCGAGACTATACAATTCAGCCGGCACCTGAGTACGGTGTTGCGGCTGCGCAAGCGGGGGTTCCTACTGAGAAGCAGCTGGCGACGAGATATTGTGGCCAGTGTGGGTCCGGCACCACCACTCCATTTTGCGCAAAGTGTGGATCTCAAGTCCCGATGTAATCAACTGATAGATGGCTGAGCATAATGTTCCTTGTATCCGGTTGTAGTGTTGGGGGAAGCGATCTATACTTCATGGTTATCTTCGTCGTTCATGTTCGACAGTTAATTTCCAGTCATTACTGTACCACTGTATTGTTGTCGGCGTGCCTCGGGATAGCTCGGTGTAAGAAGTACGAGCCACAATACATATTTTCACTGCCTCTGACACTCGTTTCGTGACTTTCTTTGAGGTACGGTATATCGCAGCATTCGGATCTATTGTCACAAGGATCAGTGGAGTTACAACGTAAAGCCGCAAAACTGGCACGGATCGGTGGTTTGGTCGGATAATTGTCGAGGAAATAATGGCAGTGCTTGGATGCACAGCTCTTCGGCGCTTATAATAAGATGAGTTTTTGCACGAAAGAGGTAACAGCGACGGATGACGAAAACAAAGGGATTAGGTGAGCTGACCATCCATTGCACTTCGTAAAGTTACAGCCGTAGGCGAAACTGGCTTCAACACACGGGGGGGTTTTCCCCCGAATATCAAAACCGCGTCGGGGGAAGACCATAACTTTACAACACTAGTTAGTGTCGGGATTTAAGCTATATTTTTGTTTTATAAAGCTAGTTGTTTTTGTTTTAATAAATATAATTAAAGAGTTTTTAGTAATATATAATAATTATAAGCTTTTTAATTTCTTTTCTATATATAACTAGATTTTTATTTAAAAGAAACTAAATCATTAATTTAATCTTTAGGCTTTTTTAATTATATATTGAAGAGGGGATACAACCATATAAAATGGAGGGAGCAAAAGCTGGTGTAATTGGCTAAAAAGAGAGGATAATGAAGCTGTCTAGAGACGTGCTTTTATCCCGCTTTGCTTGGGTCTCACTACAGCCATCCACGTGATCACTACCACATATGTCCACTCTCCCAAGTGCTCGCCCCGAGCACTCGATAGCTATATACACAGTAAAAGGACAATTACAGGGGCGTGGAAGCAATCCGGCAAGCTATCGTACGTTTGCGAACTATAAATAGCAAGCTAGAGAGCTGCACGTGATCCACCTCCTCTCATTCAATTACAAGCCCAGAAACACACTTCTCGTCCGGTCCAAACCAACCAACCCGTGTCTCCAGAAAGCCTCCTACTCTATAATCAATAGCCATGGGGTCAATCCCTTCCCCGACAAGGCTTCGTCCTTGTACAACCCCACGTGGGCGCTACAAGACTACTCTAGCCCAAATAACATGCCCAAGCCTTCCAACAGCCCAGTAATCTCATCTTGTGATATTAACGGCCGTGTGGATGTACGTTTGATATTTGTATCATATCGCAAGTGCTCTCGTCGTGTGAGAGGAGGAAAGGGATGTGCCATTGCAAGGCAGTCGTGGCAGAAGGGGGGGAGTCGTAAAACGGGTAAATCGCTCGCACGTCGACAGCGGACAGTCGATAGCGAAATGGATCTATAAGCAATCTTGATCAGATCCAGCACTCACAGGAGCCATTCTTATTTTACTTTGGGCAATCCGAGCAACATATTTGTCCCGGAAGCATACTGCCGACTCTCCACAGTGCTCTAAGAGGATGGCGATCGATATGACAAGAATTGAGAATCCTTCATGTTTCCTGTAATCTATCAAAACTTCGTACTCGTACTGTAAGTTCGAGGGCAGCTCTGAACGGACGCGAATTGCTAAAATTTCAATACTGAACAATATTTCTCCATACCAGATGCCCTGATCTCATTGATGGCTTCTTCTCTTCCGTGGCTTCTTGATCTCTTTCCTACAATTTGGGATGGGGATTTTCTGTTGACCAGCCACTTCCCTATCACTGAGAGTCAATGAATAGGGACGATTTATTCATGGGGTTAGACCTACCGTGACCGCGGTAGGAGACCTTATCGCGAATGGAATTTAATGTTCGTCTTGCTCGGGCACATTCAAGCACCCATGAGTTGTATGGACTACTTGGCAGGGCCACCACGACCACCTAATCATACACTATGCCGGAGTCTTAATTTTCGATCGTGGGATGAGAAAATTCAAATTCTGTTTCTCGTCTATATCGACCTCCTTCCTGCATCTAATAGATTCGCGTCTGGACAGTTTCACCGTAGACGCTCCCTGACTTGTACATGCCATATTTATTCGCCCCAACATTCTCATTCAATAGACATCAAAGTGGAATATCATCCGCGCCGCCGTCTCGCATGAACTCTAGGATGCTTTCTTTTTGAAGAATAGAGTCTTCAAGGCAGTAGAAATTGAAATCTGAGATGGCTAGGCGGATGTGGATGACCAAGTCTCCTTTCTATGCTTCAGTAGGTTGAGGTGTTGTTTTCCCTTCAGGCCCGAGTTCTGCTATCAAATCTTCAAGGTCTTGCTGATATGTTATCATTTCGTCCATGTCTTTGAACTCCATATGCCGCCAAACCTTTGGGTAAGTCTCCTCGGTGTCAATTTCGTCCCAGTTCCGTCTACGCATGGCAGATTCGGCGTGTGCTCGTTGAGCAGGTTCATCCAGTCGGTACATTGATCGAATGGTCGCTCTTTCGCCCAAGCAGAGGTATCCACCCTTCTTCTTGAGCTGTAGCGTCACTTCGCGCCTCATCTTGGGGTTTCCCCTCAGAATATCGATTACAACGAATAATGGCGAGTAAGCCATTGTTCCCTTTGAAACCCGAATCCAAAGCCAAACATTGGGATTTGCGCCATACTGGACAAGAAGTTTCGTGTTCTCGGCCCACCTTATGCCATCCCGATACTTTGACCACACAAAATTTCTTTCGATGGCTTTTGAATTGTACGCCCACTGCAAATGCAACTGCCAGGAGCTTCTTCCGTCGAAGACTTCATTAAGATTCGAGCCGTATTTGAGAAGGAGTTCAGTCGTAGCTGGATTGGCCTGATCTTGTCCTTCACAGGGAAAGGCTGCATAGAAGAGTAGAGGTCTACCCTTTTTGTCTCCTAGCTTGTATGCTCCAGTACTCAACTTAGCCTCGAGATAGAGTGAAAGGTGGCCTTGGACTGCGATGGACATGAAATCATCTTGCCAAGGCAAATCTGACGTTCTGTGTGCTTGCTTTCTCCCAGTAGCCAATGCCATGAAAGACTATCATTCATAGTATCGGCACGGGTTCTTTGGTAGTGTGGGTCAATTTTCCAGATGACAGTCATTGACCTATCGAGTTTGTCAAGCAGATCAATCAACGCAACTCCTGTCGATTTTTCAGCCCTGTTAGCGAAATATATTGCTTCGAGGATGGCATCCACTACGTCAATTTCGCCAGGGGTTCCTCTAGCTGCTTTGATGAACTTCCAAAACATGATGAAAAGCTTAGTATTGATATCGAGTTGCGAGTGTTGTCTACACCGGTCCGGAAATAACGTTGTCCAAACCGATTGTTTGGCAAGCCAGTCCTTTGCAGTTTTGTGTATGAATCGAATTGTCGGTGACGGCCGTTCGCCTGAAGAACCCCGGCGTACTGATTGTGAACCAGAAGGTGAATCGACTACTTCCAAAATGCCGACGCATCTGCTTGCCAGTCTCAAAGCGGCGCGAATCCGCCAAAACTCAATAACCTCCGCAGTCATGGTTTCGCCGGTCCACGAGCCAATGGCTACAGAGGGATCTTCATCGGCAAAAGAAAGGAGCAATGGGGTTAAAGGAAGCCGAGCGTATTGGGCGAGATTGAATATCTCTGCTGCTTGCTGCCGATAATCGGTAGAGATTTCTTGAAGCATCCGCATGAATAGTCCGTTCTCACCACATAACTCGGGAGGCAAGGACCTTAGCTTATCCATAATTTCTCGCGGATTATCTCCATTTCGAACCCCGGTTAGAACTTTATTGACCACCAATCGAACCCATAAGGGGACTCCGACTGCCATGTCTACAATCTCTTTCACAAGGATTGAATGGAGATTTGTACTACCATGTTGCATCTGCCGAAGGCTATCATTTGCTCCTAGGGCGTCTCCAACAAACAGAGTAATGTCCCTGGCTGATATTTTGTGTAACTCGGTGGAGCGGAAATGCAGAAAAGCGTCTTTGAATATTAGGAGCGGTCTGCTGGAGACACAAATTTTGACACCTGGTTGTCTGGCGGCGTCACACAATAATTCTACTATCTCCTGGTAATCATCATCTTTGTGCTGGATTATGGTATATTCGTCCTCGTCGATAAAGGAACCATAGTCGTTACTTGACTCTGAAAACCTCTTGTACTCGTCCAACCCATCGATGCACAAGAAAAGCCGTAAGTCTTTATCAAAGAGCGTCAAAAGCCTCTTAAATCCTTGTTTGAGTTCGGTCCAGGTCCAATCGGTCTCCACAGAGGCTCCTTGGGACTTGTAGTCCATCCACTTTTGAGGAAAGACTTTCGTGACATGATCAATTCTCTCCTTGAGGATTTGATACATCAGGCTTCTAAGCAGGCCTTCCCGAGATCTTTGAAGTTGAAAAGATCCTTGATCGAAGAAAAAGAAGCCTGCCTTTATACAATGAGCAGACGAAGCCCAATGTTCCAGATGCTCGGGGAGTTGCGGATGGTGAAAGATAAGTCTCATGAGCGTTGATTTTCCGGATCCAGCTTCACCACTGAGCCAGAAGAGCGACCCCGGGCCACGGAGCCATTCACTAAACATAGGATGTTCATTTCCTTGCTGTCTTGTTCGCTTGTCGGTGAGGAACCATTCAAACGTCCCTTCATAGGCTTTTCCGATACTCTCATCGCGCATGAACATGCCGCGGAAGCGGAGGCTATCAACTATATCTTTACGGTGTTAGTTTAGTTTCACGCACTCAGGTGAGATGCTTGATCTGGCTAACTCCATCTCCCTTCGCGTGTTTCAACCACGTTACCAATCTCTACTCGCAAGACCTCCTGATTAATGAAATGACGTTGTATGCTTACCGCTCTGCATAGGATAGGGAAGTTCTTCGATTAATTTGAGGATCCGAATATTTGCTTTTCCCAAACCTTCGCCATAGAGGAGCGGCATGCAGATGTCGAAAATGCCCAACAAAGAATAAGCCTTATCTTCTTCACGGTGAGTCGTACGAGTGCATGCCCAGGACATTCGTTCATTGACTGTGAATTCAGACAGGGGAGTCCCTCGAAGAGCTGAAGCTGGAATCCCTGTTATCTCAAGAAGCTGTTGCTCCAACTCTTTCTTATTACCAAGTCGTCTACCGTGTGAGCAAAAGAACTCAACAGATGGCGGAGCAATAAGTTCTTGAAGGGTCCAGCCACGGGTAAACCATCGACTGTTCCGAAAAGCCGGTTCCCACAACTGTAAGGACTCGTCGATGGGATCAAGGCCAATTGCTGAAACATCTGACAGATATACATAACATTTGGCCGCATTGCTATACCAACGAAACATGGAGTTAATAGCTTCTGAAAGCTCAGTGCTGTTTGATTTATCAATGCAGCAGGTATCCACCCAGAAGTTTCGCAGGCCATCGCGACTGGCTTGCGCTCCACAGAACTGAATCTTTTTATACCCAGATTTTGTCTTCTCAGAGCCATTCTCTAGATCTTTAAAGGTGACTTCTTCTTCATCATCTCCCCAAGTATGGGAAAGTATTGCATAGCGCGGAATATTATTGGTGAGATCCCTGGTCAGGCTGAACTCGCCGTTCTCGTTAACTTGCAAAAGACGCATAGTTAAAGCGCGACCGATAAGAAGTGCGTATGGGTGAAATGTGCGCGGTACACAATGTCGAGAGTGAGGCGTCAAAATCAAAATCCATATGCTGTAACAAGAAAAGTTGACAGTGAAGAAGGTAATTTGATTGTGCATAGGTGTGGTCGTATTGTCGAAGAACAAGGTTCTGGCACGGCGTTGTCATCAGGTGAGTCCACGTTTGGCCGATTTCGCCGACACCCGAGGGGGTGTGCTGGCGGCAGGCTTGGCAACGATTGGCGTTTTTAGTAATCGATTACAATCAATGCCATAATCATAAGGTATTGATTGAATTAATTAATAATCGATTATAAGCGAGCAAATCCCCGCCCACGTACCCTCTTTTCTAATTCTGGATAGTTAAGGAGTTTAGTAAAGCATTATACTATATATAATAAAGGTAAGGCTATTCTTTAATTTATATATTTAAAGAAAATATTTAGAATTCCACTTCTCTTTTAGTACTTAAGGCCTCCTTTTCCCTCAAAGTTATATTATTTACTTTAATAAAAATCGCTATACTTATATATTATTATTCCTTTCTCTTTTCTCTAAGCCTTTATTATTAATTATAATATTAAAGGGCTATTAATTTACCTAATTAATACCCGCAATATTCGAAGTTTATTACATGTCTTTTGGTTATATATAACTCTATATATATTATAATTAATAAGACTAAAAACGTTTATACTTTTATTTTTATAATTATAATACTTAAAATTATATTTTTTATATTTTTTTATATTTAATTTAAGGTTATTAAATACTAATATTTTTATTTTTAAGATTATTTATTATAAATTTATTATAAATTTATTTGAATTTAAATAATTATATTAAATATATATTTTTATATTTAAAAAATAAATATTAAAAATATAATTATATTTATTATAATCTTAGCTTTAACTTTTTTTATTAAATAATAACTTTAATTTTAATATATAATACTAACTCTTATATTAATATTAATATTTAAGCTTTTTTTTATTAAAAATATATTAAATATAGCTTCAAATAATAGCTTTAATAAAGGCAAAAGTAATAAAAAAAGTAATAAAAGTATAAATAAGTAAAATAAATAAAATAAAATAAAAATTATAATATATCTATAATGGCTAGTATTATATAGTTAATATAGACGTGGTTTTAACTAAAGAAGTTAATTTTAGCTAAGGTTCCAAGCTATAGTTCAAATCAAGCTCGCTTCCAGAGCTTAGTATTTCAGTAGTCTTAGCCATACCTACTTATCCACTGCTACACCTCACTCCTTTCCCTCTTAGCTTTAAATCCTTAAGATATAGGAAATATAAGGCACGTAATAGCAGGGTAATATACAAGTAGTTAAGGTAAGTAAGCTGCAGAGTGACGCTTGCAAGTGTAACTAATTCCAAGAATTAATTCTAATAAAAGACTAATTAATACTCTTTTCTAAAGCTAGAAGCATTTCCCTATATATTCCCTAGTATTTAGCCAAATATATAAAGCCCTTTACTTAATTAGGAAATGTAATCCTATATAATTCATATAATTCTAATTATAAGCTTTATCTAAAATAGGAAATTAGATCTATAATATCTAATACCTATTTATATACTATTATATATATCTATTATATTAATTTCCCTTCTAGGCCCTTATTCTTAAAAGGCCTGGGAAAATTACAAATAGCTTTATATATACTTCTAGAAACTTTCCTAGCTATTAGTTTTCTCTAAAAACTTTCTATAATTATCCTATTATTATATTATATAATTAATTTCAAAATATAGTTTACTAATTCTATCTAGTTAACTTATAAATTACCTCTAATAATTTCTCTTTATAAAAATAATATAGATATAATATATATTATTAAATATAAAGTTTATCTAATTTTCTAATTAGTTTATAAATTCTAATTTAGCTTTTATTTACGAATAAATTATTATTCTATAGGCCTAAAAGCTTAGAAAAGTTAATTTGATTTTCTAGTTTATTTATAAATTTTTTTTTTGGAATTTTCTAGATATTTCTAGTATAGAGCTAGTTCCGAATTTATAATTACTATTCGGAAAGAAAGTATTATAAAAAGGTCTCTTTTTTTCTATTAACTAATTTTTTCCCCTTTAATTATAATACTATATTTAGCTCTTTCTTATTCTTTGTCTTTTTTTTCTAAGCCTTTTTTAAGTTTTCTTTAGGCTTCTTTAAGCTTTCTTTAAGCCCTTTTAATATTCTCTTCTATTTTTTTATTTATTAAAATAAATTCTTCCCTTAGTATTTATTAGTTTATTACTAATTATTTAGCTAATACTTCTATAGCCTTAATTTGCTCTTATTATCTTTAATATTCCAAGAATATTACTAAGTTTTCTAATTTTACTTATATTAAAAGTAATAATTACTCGGTATATAATTATTACTATTTTAAAAATAAGAAATATAATTTTATAAGTTATAATTTCCTTCTCTTATTTCCTATTCTAATATTATTTAAGGTTTCTTAAATATATATAATATAGTTAAATTACTTTCTTTAAGCTATAAATATATATAAGTGTTTTTTCTAGTTTTTATTCGAATAAAAAAAAGCTATTACTATTTTTTTTATATTAAACTTTATATATTTCTTATATTAAAGCTATTATTTGAGGCTAACGGATTTCTCTAATAATTCAAGATATAAATCAAGTAATTTTTACTAGCTTAGTATAGATATAAAGTACTTTTAAAGATATAATTAATATTTTTTAGTATTAAATAAACTTATTTTCTTCTTGTTTTTTACTAATAGCTAATAGCTTTCTAGGCTAATTTATTATTTATTTCTTGAAAGAATCCCGATAAAAATAATAATAAAAATAGTAAAGACTAGTTATAAGAATAGAATATTTATAGAATATAGAAATTAAAGTTTTTAAAGTTTTTAATAATTTTTATATAGTTTTTCTAAGAATAAATATATAGTTTTTAATAGTTTCCTAATAAAAGTATTTATTTTTTATGTCTTTATTTAGCTAATAGTATTATAATATTACTTTTTTTTAAGTATTCTTATAATTCTTGAATTATATTCTCTAGATTATTTAATAGTTCTTATATATTATTTACTAATAAATAGTTCTTTTAATAAATAAGATATTTTTTTTCCTATTCTTTTTATAGGCTATAATAGATTTTATTTTAAACTTTTCTTTATTTTCAATTTTAATTAGTTCCGGTTTTATTATAGTACTAGCCTATAAGTATTATAGTTCTAAGAAAGAAATATAGAAAATATTATAAATCTAATATAATAGTAATAATTTCAAGTAATATATTTATTTATATATTTTTATAATTTCTAGAACTTTAAAAAAGCCAAGATATTTATTTATTAGCTTTATACTAGAATAAAGCTATTAAATATTCTTTATATAAAATATAACTTTATTATATATTTTAAACTCTATATTAATATATTTTTTATTATAATACTTTTTCTATATATTTATTATTACTTCTTGTTATTACTTTTCTAGTATTTTCTATTTTATTTGAATTCTTTATATTTTTTCTTATATTACTAGTATATTTTTTTTAAGAATATTATTCTTAATATATAATTTAATACTAGAATAAAATTCATATAATATATAAAATAGAAATATTTCTATTATTAAATATATGGAATTATTATATATAAATTTTATAAAAGTAAGCTTTATTATCTAATTATTTTACTAATAACTAGTATAGTATTTTAAGTATTATTCTAGAGTTTAATTTAGATTCTTTATTTATTTATTAGTTTATAAATAAAAGTATAGATTTAACTAAAACTTGCTTATAAAAATAGATTCTTTATTAGAGGTTATATTTATAAATATACTGAAATCTTTAATAATATAATATATAAATAGCTTTATTAGTTCAGGAGTCAAGTATTATAATTCCCAGATATCTAATATCTAAAATACCTGGCCAGATATTAGATATCTTCTAGATATATATAATGCGACTGCTTTACTAAAGAAATATACTTGAAATATACTAGAAATATTTTAGAAGACTAAACTCCTTTGGGACTAGTATATTATAAAATATATATGTTTTCTTATAGCTTTTTGTATTTTAGTTTTTCCTTTTTTAGCTTTGAATTATCTTTATAAGAAACCTTTTATCTTGCTTTTTAAGTCCTAAATACTATATTTATAATAGTATTTAAAGCTTATATCTTTTAATTCTATAAAGGATTTTAAATAAACTAATTTAGAACTATTAGAAATATAGATACTACTAAAATAATAGAACCTTAGAAATACAAGTAATAGACTTTAAAATAATAAAAGTAAAAAGCTTTAGAATTCTTAGAGAAATTAGATATTTATATCTTTATAAATATATATTAGTAATATATTAGAAACCCTTTCCGAAAACCCGAAAATTAAAAAACTTCAAATAAAGACTACTCTTTAACCAAATCCTAAAATAATAAATATCTATAGGCTAGTAATCTAACTACTACCCTCAAGCCCTATTCTATAATCTTATGGGCCCTATATATATACTAGTAATAAAACTACTAGAAAATATATAATAAAGGAAAATTATATAATCCGGAATAATATTAATTTCTTTTAAGGCTTCTATTAGTTCAAGTTATTCTATTAGTAGCCTTTCCCGAACTAAATACCCTATTAATATTTCTAAAAGTTTTTTAAATAAATTTATAAAAAAAGAGGCTTCTTCTTTTATTAAAAAGCTCCTCTATACTAATTAGCTTATTATTACTAAAAAACTATATAAATAAGCCAAGAAAGCTAATTATTTGCCTTCAGATATTAATTCGATTATTACTAGCTATTAAAAGAATCTCAAGAAGACTGTTTTATATAAAACAAATTATAAAAATATTAAAAGCTTTCTCGAAAATACTAAGTTCTAAAATACTAAACTCGAAAAGGATATTAAATATTATATAGCTATAATAGATTAGTTTATAGTAATTCCAG